ACAGGTTTACTAGCACCACTTTCATAATCGTTAGTTTCTTGTTAAAAAGTGTAAGTATTTTTGACCCAAAATTGCAAGTGTTTACATGGTTCATGAGTTTCTTGTTAAACAGTGTAAGTATTTTAGATCCAAAATTGCAAGTGCTTACATGGTTCGTGAGTTTCTTGTTGAGCGCCAAATTACACAATGGACTATTATTCTCTGTCTATCGCGGGTATCGAAACCCAGGTTTTGTTGTTGTAATCCCTGATACTTTACGTTGAACTCTCAGGGGGTGTATATATACATATAAGTAAGAAGTACATGTAGTTTTTGACGTTAAGAAACAGACGGACAAGAGTAAATAAAAGGACGTTTTTCTATCCATTGCAAGCGCCACCTACGTAAGATTTAATTCTAGCATCAAGATACGTTTATCTCAAGAAGATTAAACAAAACACGCTCGAAATGCCCTGAATTGTTTAATGGAAAATATCACCTTAGAAAACATATCAATGCTCAAAGATACGTTGTAACAAAAATGATAATAGCTTTATACGTTTCATTAATTATTAATACTAGCTATTATAAATAAACTTCCGCATATTTCTGAGTTTTATTGTCGGGGGGTATTAGCTCAGTTTCTCTCGATATATTTGGTATGCTGTACTTAGCCGGGCCGTGTTTCATTTATAAAAAAAACAAAAAACAACAACAATAAGAAACATGCGTTACACGGGAAGTTGATTGACTATTACTTTCACACTGCTTCTCCAGATCTGTACTGTCTTCTCCCAGATCAGATCCACTCTTGAGCTCGTGTAGTCCGAAGTCTGTAATCTTTACAACCCAGCGGCTGTCAACTAAGCAATTAGAAGATTTCAGGTTTCCATGGGAACGGATAGAACTGTCGTGAAGAAATATCATAGCCTGTAATAACGAAGAAAATATAGTTTTTTCTCTGTTCATGTGTTTCTTTTTCTTTTTCTTTGATAAATATATAATAATATGTTTTCATGTAAGACGATGCTATCAACCGATCAGTTTTTCGGAAAACGTAACGTAATTACATGAAACGTTTAACAGACGTTTCGGAATCTTCAGAATTCCATCTTCAATGTGCTAGAGATACAAAACAAGCACAATGCTAATTACACCAGAAATATGATATAATCTGTTTTTGTTTTTTGTATTCAAATTGTTTACTTGTTATTTATTACAGATTATACCAGATGCTATGTTTTATTCGAAAAATTTGGCCACAGTATAAAAGGACTGTAAATAAAATAAATTCATAGCAGCTTAAAGGTATAAATTAAATCAGGAAAACAAAAAATAAACAAACAGAAAGTTGTGGAACCATGTGAAACTAATCAATTTCAAACATAACCATGTAAAACTAATCAATTTAAAACAACCGTGTGAAACTAACCAATTGAAAACATAACCAGGTGAAACTAAACAATTTAAAACATAACCAGGTGAAACTAATCAATTTCAAACATAACCATGT